GCTCGCTCGCTCGCTCCCTCTCACTCACTCTCACTCACTCACTCACTCAATTGCTCGCTCACTCACTCACTCACTCACTCACACACACATACGTACAAACGCTCGCTCACTCATTCACTCACTCACTCACGCTCGCTCACTCACTCGCACTCAGTCACACGCACAAACACTCGCTCACTCGCACTCAGTCACACGCACAAACACTCGCTCACTCGCACTCAGTCACACGCACAAACACTCGCTCACTCGCACTCAGTCACACGCACAAACACTCGCTCACTCGCACTCAGTCACACGCACAAACACTCGCTCACTCGCACTCAGTCACACGCACAAACACTCGCTCACTCGCACTCAGTCACACGCACAAACACTCGCTCACTCGCACTCAGTCACACGCACAAACACTCGCTCACTCGCACTCAGTCACACGCACAAACACTCGCTCACTCGCACTCAGTCACACGCACAAACACTCGCTCACTCGCACTCAGTCACACGCACAAACACTCGCTCACTCGCACTCAGTCACACGCACAAACACTCGCTCACTCGCACTCAGTCACACGCACAAACACTCGCTCACTCGCACTCAGTCACACGCACAAACACTCGCTCACTCGCACTCAGTCACACGCACAAACACTCGCTCACTCGCACTCAGTCACACGCACAAACACTCGCTCCTCACTCACTCGCACAAACACTCGCTCACTCACTCACTCACTCACTCACACACACATACGTACAAACACTCGCTCGCTCGCTCACTCATTCACGCACACTCACTCACTCGCTCATTCACGCACACTCGCTCATTCACGCACACTCGCTCACTCGCTCATTCACGCACACTCGCTCACTCGCTCATTCACGCACACTCGCTCGCTCGCTCGCTCGCTCACTCACTCACACACATACGCACAAACACTCGCTCGCACGCTCACTCACTCGCACACTCACTCACGCTTGCTCGCTCACTCACTCGCACTCAGTCACACGCACAAACACTCGCTCACTCGCACACTCACTCACAGCTCACTCACTCGCTCACTCACTCACTCACTCGCACACTCACTCGCACACTCACTCGCACACTCACTCGCACACTCGCTCGCACACTCGCTCGCACACTCGCTCGCACACTCACTCGCACACTCGCTCGCACACTCACTCGCTCACTCACTCGCACACTCACTCGCACACTCCCTCACACACACTCACTCACACACACACACAATCACTCACTCACTCACACACACTCTCTCTCTCTCACTCTCTCACACACACACACTCACTCACTCACTCACTCACTCACAAACACACACTCAGACACACACACACACACTCAATCTCACTCACACACACACTCACTCACTCACTAACAAACACAAACTCACACACTCACTCACACACACACTCACTCACACACTCACACTCTCTAACACACACTCACTCACTCACTCAATCACACACTCACACACTCTCTCTAACACACACTCACTTACTCACTCACTCACTCACTCACACACTCTCTCTAACACTCACTCACTCACTCACACACTCACTCACTCACACACTCACACACTCTCTCTAACACTCACTCACTCACACACTCACACACTCTCTCTCTAACACACACTCACTCACTCACTCACTCACTCCCTCACTCACTCACTCACACACTCACTCACTCACTCACTCACTCACTCACTCACTCCCTCACTCACTCACTCACTCGCACACATACACTCACTCCCTCGCTCGCACACTCACACTCACACTCTCACTCTCACTCTCTTGTGACTTGTCACTTCCTGTTGGGTTTGATCTCATTTTCTGCTCCCTTTCTCTCGGCAGATGCTCATGTTTCCAGAAGGAACGACGACTAACGGCCGAGCTCTGATCAAATTCAAACCTGGTACGACAAACACTCATAGGCTCTGTTCTAAAACCTAGTGAGCGCCCTTTGTTGTTTTTTAAGAAATTAATACTTTTATTGATCAAGGCCGCATTAAATTGATCAAAAGTGCCAGTAAATAGATTTGTTACATAAGTTATTATATATTATAATTTCTATTTCAAATAAATGCTGTTCTTTTGAACTTTCTATTCATCTGTGAATCCTGAAAAATAAAATGTATCACAGTTTCCACAAAAATATTGTGCAGCACGACAATAATCAGAAATGTTTCTCAAGCAGCAAATCAGTATATTAGAATGATTTCTGAAGATCATGTGACACTGAAGACTGGAGTAATGATGCTGAAAATACAGCTGCGCATCACAGAAATAAATTAGTTTAACAGATATTCACATAGAGAACAGCTGCTTTACATTCTAATAATATTTCACAATTTTTACTGTATTTCTGATCAAACAAATGCAGTGCTGGTGAGCAGAAGAGACTTCTTTCAGAAACATAAAAAATCAAACGTATTGATTTTTTGATAGTCTTTTTGAATATCATTCTCATATCTATAGCTATTTGCTAACGCCAGTAATCTCTCGACAGGAGCGTTTCTGGCCGGTGTTCCCGTTCAGCCCGTCTTGCTTCACTATCCCGGTGAACCGGTGAGTCTGGGAACAGCAAATGCCTCCCACCGCGTCTGCGGCTAAAATTAACGGAAACCACTGGATGACTAAATATGAGCAGGACAGTGAGACACGGACAGCTGCTGAACGAGATAAAAGAGCACAAGACTAATAAACCAGTAAAATGACACTGAAACGCTTCCTTTATGCATGATGTATAACATGAAACATCTCTTGAATATGTTTGCAGGACACGGTTCGCTGGACCTGGAAAGGACTGACGTGGTGAGAAGGAATTTTTGTGCTGTTCATAACTGAAAATAATCAATCAGAACAAATAGTTCTTCTAAGTCTAGCTGTCTGTGGTTTCGTCTGTAGGCTCGGCACTCTGTGGCACACCACCTCTCAGATCTACACCAGCGTTACCGTGGAGGTGGGCGGGCTTCATTTGATTGACATGAGTCGGAGCCAATCACCGCTAGACTCTGGCTCAGTAATTGTTCTTTGCTCTGATTGGTTGTAGTTCCTGCCCATCTACACGCCGTCACAGGAGGAGAAGCAGAACCCGGACTTGTACGCCGAAAACATACAGAAACTCATGGCCAAGTACGTCATGTGCCGTCTGTGGTCTATATAGGCAGGTCCCTACATAGGCAGCATCGGAAACTATTAAAGCGAAGCTTTACGCAGACAGCGAGTCCTCGTGACATGTTATTTCAGTGCAGCTTGTCATCATCATCTTACTAACAACACAATTCTCCATTAAATTTTTGTATGGTCATCTTGGCGAGGACTCCCTGGAAGAAGAGATTTCTTTTATCTCAATGGGACCTTCCTGGAAAAATAAAGGATAAATAAAAATAAATACATAAATCCCATGCAATGGTGTGTTCGTAATTAGATTATTTAGCAATATTTTATCAATTATGTTCTGTATTGATTGAAATATGTGTATAATCAAGATTTATCTTGCTTCATTTGCCATCTTTACCTTTAAATGCAGTCGACATGGCAGTGGCCATAAAAGAGCCTGAAACCATAGAAAAATGTTCTTTTGTCACTTGTAATAAAATAAACATTAGCCGAAATAATGTGTATATAGGCCAAAAAAAAATAAAAAATATATATATATATAGCAAAATTAAAATAGGAACAGAAAATACTAAAATAAAAACTATTAAATTATAATAGAATATTAATGATAGTAAAGCAGCACTGGTGTTGACCAGGATTTAATTTGAATTGCATTTTAATTTTTCTGTCCGTTTATGTAAATTAAACAGTGTTATTTTATTATTATTTATACTATTATATTATTTACTAATGTATTGAATGAGCTCTAATTTTTTCCCAATTTTAATTTTATTTTATGTTTTAGTAACTTTGTGTGCTTTTGTCATTATTTTTTTTTTATCTTTTCATTGTAGTCGTAATATTTTTTTTTTCCAGATTTATTTGGATGACTTTTCAACAATTTTTCAACTATATATTCAACTACTATTTTTAATAGTTTTAGTAATTTTATGTGCTTTTGTCTTTCTTTTTTTTTAATTAGCATTTGTAGTCTTAGTAATAAAAAAAAATTTCAACTTTATTTTCGACTACTATTCAACCATTTTTCAACTATTATTTTTAATAGTTTGTTTATTTTAACAGTAACAACACTGGATGCGACCTGGTTACTTTCGGGTTAAATACAACAGAAGTTCATCCACCTAGAAAAATAATAATAGGATTTAACCTAATTTACAGCTGAAATAGCACACTTTTATTAATGTAAGTCATATTAAATGTGCAATGTTCCTTTAAGCAATATTGAAATGTTAATGTCTCGTAGAGCTCTGCGTGTTCCTGCCACCGATTATGTGATGGAGGGTCGATTTCCTGTTAAAAAGCTCGGAAACCTCTCGCTTCCCCTGGAGCCTCCGGCACAGGAAACACTCAAACTGCTCCGTGAACACGGGTGAGTGTGTGTGTGTGTGTGTGTGTGCGCGCGTGTGTGTGTGTGTGTGTGTGTGTGTGTGTGCGCGCG